TCAACTTATGTAATTTTTGATGTTCTTGGAATTAAAGTTTTAGTATTTTCTTGTTTGTGCACTTAAAGTTTATACTAAAACATGGACCCTTGAATTTTTTATTTTTTGGTTCATTTATAAGGCAGGTACTTTATATGAAAGATTTCTTATATTGTAATGCTTGTAAAGACGTATTCTATTAATGAATAACTTCATCAAGATTCATGTTTTGGAATTTTTCAAGTTGCATTGTTGTTTCACTATTTTAAATTTTTGATGTGTCATATAAAGCAAGTGGGAAAATGTTAGAATTATCTCTTAAATGTGGCCCATATGTCACATTACTAAGTAGGGGTGATCATATCAAATCCAATCCGATGGATCCAACCTAAACTGATCCAATCAAATTAAAAATTGATTCAAACCAATATAAAATTGGATTGGTTTGAATTCTAAAATTTTAAAACCAATATAATTGGTTTAGTTTGTGGTTTTACCTTCAAATCGCCTGAACTGCCCGATTAAAAAATAAAATCCGATTAAAAGATAATTTAATTAAATAATATAACATATTTTTTGTAGTATTTTAAATTTTCTTTTTCTTATTTTACAAGATTATAACTCTATTAACTTAATTAAAAAAATAAAAATAGAACATCCTCATATTCCTTAAGTTATTTCTCCATTTTAATCATGCACTCTAACCTTAATTCTAAATTTCTAATTCACCTGCAACTCTATCATCTCAAAACTGGTTTGCACCTTTACTCTTAGAACTTTAAATTTCTAATTTATTTTTAAAATAATCTTATGATTTTCATAACTAAATTTTAAATAAGTATCATTCTAAAAGTCTTAAAACTATATAATAAAATCAGTCTTAATATTCTACTATTTTTGGATATTTGGTTTAGAAGTTTTAAATTTTGATTATGAATGTTTCTAATCAATTTTAGTAATATTCATGTTAAATGTTATTCACTTTTAACAACATTTAGAAAATGGGATTAAATTATTAGTGCATTATGAAATAAAAAACTAATTTTAATCTTCAAGAATTATTTATGTTGTGCTAGAAATTTGAAGTTATTTTTTATTGTTTTTGGTGTCTCTAGTGATGTAACCAAGAAGAGCTTTTCAATTTTTACAAATGTAAAGGAGTATAAGAATTTGTTTATAATTTTTACTGATTTGGATATTAATGTATTTTATAATTATACTTTCTATTTTATGTTAAAATATTTTTATATTATCTTATATATTTAATAATGTTAAAAATTGATCAATCTGATCGAACCACATCGATCTGATTTAAATTGAATTGATTTGATTACCACGTAATAATGGATTAAATTAGTTTAAAAAT